GCTCGGTGGAAACCCAACAAGACAGCCCTTAATCTTTCTGCGAGATTTTGAGATGACTCTCCAGCAATGAGGACGTCATCAACATAGGGACAGAGCCCAGGAATACCACGAAGTGTGCCTTCCATAACACTTTGAAATATGCCAGGGGCTACATTCACCCCAGACTGCAGTCTTTTAAGCTTAAAGGCCCCTCTATGTGTTACAATTGTTTGGGCCTCTGCAGTTGCCTCATCAACAGGTAACTGTTGATAGGCCTGTGCCAAATCAAGTTTTGCAAAAATGCACCCCCCCTTGAGGGAGGCCAAAATGTGGCTTATCACAGGCACTGGATATGTGTGCTGTTGCAACGCTTTATTCAGTATACACTTATAGTCTACGCATATGCGGACTTCTCCATTAGCCTTTAAAGGCGTAACATTGGGAATTTCCCATGGACTGGAGTCCACAGGCTCTAAGATGCCCTGCTGGATCAGCTTGTCCAGCTCTGCATCTATCTTGCTTTTAAGGGCAAAAGGTACCCTTCTAGGCTTGTTCCTGGTGGGCATAATAGTTGGGTCTAAACGTAATGCAATGGGAGGCCCCTTGTAGGATGCAAGCTCTGAGCTAAACACATCAGCAAACTGCTTGCAGACTTCTGCAAGGCCCAATGTTTGCATGCTGTACAGCTCAGTCACTTGAATTCCAAGGGCCTTGAACCAATCAAGTCCAATAAGACTTGTGCGTTCACCCCCAACTACCACCACATCTAAGAAACCCTAATAAGCCTTACGCTGCACTTTGAGCATAGCCTCCCCCTTGACACTGACTTTGGAATTCTGGAAGTCAGTGAGGATTAAATTCGAGGGCCTGAGTTTGACTCAAAGGCCACTACTGCTGCAAATCCTTTTAAAGGTATCAAGTGAAATGAGGGATAGAATGGACCCTGTGTCCAACTCCATCAATAGGGGACCCCCTTGCAACTTCACGTCAATGCAAAGTTTTTTCTTAAGGGGCTTGTGTGTCCCTGTCCTCAGAATACTCCTGCACGATGCGCAGAAACCCACCCTGTGTTGGTTGGGGACCCTGGTACCTTTCTGAAGCAATTCTTCCCGAGGTTGGACCTTCTGGCGACCCAAACAGACGGAGGCAATGTGGCCTTGCCTGCCACATGCCCGGCAAATGGCAGAGGGGAATCTGCAGTCAACTCGCTTGTGATGTCCTCTGCACCCGAGACACTGAGGAACTGCTGGATGCCCCGTTGGCCTTCTTTCTGCTGGCTGGTGAAGTCTGTCCACTTCCTCTTCTGGATCCTCTTCTGAATCTTCTCGAGCGTCCTCTTGATGGATGGACACGACTGCGGTAGCGCTTTTGGCGAGTCGCAAGGCCTTCACAGTGCCACCTGCTGCCTCTTCAGCTGCAACTTCGTGCAAGACATCTTGGAAGGTGACTTCAGCTTTAGCAAATATTTTTTGTTGCAGCTCTCTACTTCTAAGCCGCAGACAAAACGGTCTCGTAAACATTCTTCCAAGTCCTTGAATTCACAAGGCCTGGCTGCTTGTCTCAGGGCAGCAATGAATTCCACAGGAGACTCACTAGGCTTCTGATCCCTTTGCTCAAAAGCATGCCTCCACTCACAGAGAGCTTTGGATGGAAGTGATCCTTCAACATATTCTTCAAGTCTGTGTACATTACAGACTCAAGCGCGCAGGAACTACTAAGTTTTCTGCTACGTCGAAAGTGTCCTGGCCGCAGACGCACAGCAAGGTCGGTGATGTCAACGCTGCAAATACTGTATATTCTTTGAAGTGTTTCATTAGCCAGAATCATAACAGCTGCCTTCAAGCCGTCTTCTCGAACCTGGTTAACTTGCAGGTAGTTTTCCACCCGGGCCATGTAAGAGTTCCAACACTCCGGGTGAGACATGTTGAATTTGGACAGCCGGCCAATCTTCAATATCGCTAGCTTTTCTTAGCCTCGCTGCAACTTCAGCGGGGAAGAGTCCCGTTTGCCAAGCCCACCTCCAGCATTTGTGTACTGGCAGATGAGTGCAGATCTGGGCGTCGACTTCCCCGCTTCCAGCTCTTTTTTTTAGAGGCTAGGCTCTTCGGTTGTCTTCTTCTTTGCAGCGATCCCATCTTTGTCACCACTTTTACGTCTTGGGGTTCGCGGCATTGAAGCGACACACACTCACATTGTAACCAAGTTCTTCTTTATTTATTCCACATTACCACTCACTCACCCAACAGGCTTGCAAGCCTTTTATAGTTTTCCAAACAGCCTATCACAAATCTCTTTTGTTCGCGCCTTGCGCATGCGCGCAAGGCCGACGCCAACCAGTTTGGTCCCGGGCAGCTTTTGGGTTGCCCGGGACCATTTGCAACATTTCTGGGCCTGCTGAGCTGTCTCATCAGGCCCAGGACACAACAGTTGGTGGCAAACCTAGCACAACAGTCTATTGCCTACAGTCTCAGGAACAGATCCATTGGATGTGATAAACTTTATGACTGGAACTATAGGTTGGGGTGGAACTGATAATCATAAAAGTGTGAGATTAAAAAACCCCAAAATTTGATATTCACAATACGAAGACAAGTCTGGTTAACAAAACAAAGTTTTTTTGGAGAAAAATATAAAAATAATAATAAGAAAAGCGTTTGCAAACGCGGCCTCTTTGAACCTTCCCAAGTTGGATTGATTTCAAAGAGCGCAAAAAGCAGCTTTCAAGCCTCACAATTTATACCTTTTACAATGCACGTCACGCCCAAGAAACCCTCCCAACTCCCCCTCTCTACCTTCTCTAAATCATTCTTTGAAGTTGCTCTACACCCAAAAAGGTCACCCTGGCCATTTCCATCCATCTGCTATTTGTAATTTCCACCATGTGATCTTATCTTTGTTTATTTGTAATTTCCACCTTGTGATCTTATCTTCTCTTCCCCATAGTGATTTCTACTCAAGGCTTAAGTTCCTGTTCCCTTAGGTACCCCCAGTAGGTCATAATTCATTCGCTGATTACTTTTTGTGGTCACTTTGCATTAGGCAGGAAACAGTAAACAGATAGTCTTATACATTGCCATTACATTGGCAATGTAATGTATAATGTAATGTATAATTACATTATTACAATTTAGAAAAGAATAACTTTTATTTTTTTTTTCCTTCAATTGGTCTATCAAGAAGGAACAACTCTTTCACTGTTGCAGAGCAGCATATAGTAGCAGAATTTGCCCTCTTATTTTTTAAAGACGTACAGAAAGGTTGGGTTCACATAACTCAGTTTTCTGAGTTTGTGCAACACAATGAACGATAGGTTAAGTAATCACAACCTTCCAGAATAAATGTAGATGGTGAGGTAGTAGTTCAGTTTGTTGTGGAATATATTATGTAAATCCAACCAGTATAATTAAGTTCACTGTGTCATGCAATCTTAGGCAATTGAATTAATTTAGTAAGCTATGATTCAGTTAATCGTGAAGCCAAACCCTGTATTTCACAACTAAAATTTCGAGACAGATTATTTACAAGTACCGTATATTCTGGCGTATAAGACAACTTTTGAGAGCGTCGAAACAGCCTCCGAACTCGGGGGTCATCTTATACGCCAAGTCGTCTTATACGCCGGAAATAAAGTAGTTTCTGGCGTATAAAACGACTTTCTAGGCATGCGACTCGGCGTCGATCATCTTATACGCCGGAAATACCGGTAGTTTCCGGCGTATCAGACGACTTTCTAGGCATGCGACTTGGCGTTGATCGTCTTGTGCCCTGGCGTCAAACAAGGGGGTCGTCTTATATGCCGGGTCGCCCTATACGCCGGAATATATGGTAATTTCTGCATTGTTTATACATTGCAGCTTCAAAACACAAAGTACTTGAAGTTAAAAATGAACTTCAGTTCCTTTCTCCTCTCTGTAAGGAACTAGATGGTCACAATACCACTAGATGCAACATGATAGATGCTGTTTCTGAGGATGTGCCATTTATGGTCCACCAACTGCATGTGCCTTTCAGGTTCTTCTTTTGAAGCTCCAGAGCCATTTTAGTGCCAAATTTCCACAGGATGGTTTTCTGCTGATAATTGGTGGAAAATTAGTATTTAAAATGTAAAAAAGGCTTTTTTAAATATTATTTGTTTGTGTTTTTTTTAAGATGTAGAACTATTTGCATTGGGAGTGTTGATGATGATGTTAATGATGATGACAGCTTAATGCCAGGCTTCCCTCGCCCCTCCAATGTCTTTATTCACTAGGCACATTTTGAGAACATGTTATGCTATGTGATTCATGGTGGTAGAGAGCATAAAGTGACATATGCAATCACAAATCAAAACAGTCTAACTGGGTGTAGAATCCCAAAATTGCTCCAAAGCACTGGTATCCATGAACATTATTTTAAGGATCCTGCTTTCAGAAATTCCTTCTTCTGGTCCTCCTATTTTCTTTGTACCTCAACATTCAGCAGTCCTGTTTTCTGTGGCACTAGGAAGGAAATAATTTATAATGTACCTGTCCATAATGTAGACATTCCCCAGACCTCCTCATTGACACTGTTCATATAATAAATCAGGCAACCCTAATTTGCCTAGAGATGCAGAGGAAATGCTATTCATTCTCACTGACCTTTTGGTACCTTCAAAACCTCAAAGGACTTCAGCAGGGGCATTTAGAAGAGGGAGGGGTGGATAGACACATTCCTTTACAAAGCAGCTTCAAAGGGGTAGCTCAGTCAAAGCATGGTTGAAGCGAAGCAGCCTTTCATTGATGCCTGACACAGTTTTAATTGAGAGCGCTGAATTAAAGAGCAGCTCTTTACCTAAAAAAAAATACATTGTCAGTGAAGGGATCCAGCTTTTAAAACAGTAATTTGCAGAAGACATATGGAGAGGTAAAAAATAGTCTGCTCTGTAGCATTTGTTCCAGTGGTTGTATTCTGTGAAAGAAACAGAATAAGAAAATGGCTTCTGCCCAAGCCAACTTCAAAATAAGAGAGTAATTTACTTTTTTTCCCCTCCTTATCTTAAGATTCTCTAACCTGGCAGAAGATCTCAATTAGTGGTCTTGCTCCTCAAACTCTTGAACACAGTTCAGCTGTAGTAGGTGAAAACATCTTTGTCTATGGTGGCATGGAAGATGGTAAAGCAGTGGATGATCTCTATATGTTCAACACAGGTGGGTGCAACTAAATCCTCACAGGACAATGTAGTTTGCTGTATGTCAGTTGCTCCAGACTTATTTAAGATGTAGCATATGTTCATAAAACAAATGCAGGTAGAAATGCCAGTTTGGTCTAGTGGTTAAGACATCAGGCTAGAAATCGGATAGACCATGAGTTCAAGTCCCGCCTTAGCCATGAAAGCCAGATGGGTGACCTTGGGCCAGTCACTCTCTATCTCAGCCCAACTCACCTCACAAAGCTGTTGTTGTGGGGAAAATAGGAGGAGGAAGGTTTTGGATATGTTTGCCTATTTTAAAAAATAATAAAGACCGATATAAATAACATAAAAATACATAACAAATAAATAAATAAGATTAAAATATAACACTTGATTTCTTATTTCTGTCAACCTGCAGTGCAGGTTTGTGTATTATTACTATCCATTATTACTTGCCCGAGAGTTTGTCCTACTTATAGCAAATGTGTTGATCCATTGAATTAAATTCTACTTTACACATGCCTAAAATGAGTCTAGCTGTATATTCCTGTATTGGCCACCAGCAATCATGTTAAATGTGTTCTACAACTATTTATAGGAAACTACCAGGGAAATTTCTGTGAGAAATACTTTTGTATGTTTTTTGCTCCCTATGTCATATTTTCAAACATTTATAAATGGTTTACTATATCCCAGCACTCCTGTTCATTATTGCTCATAGCATCTTAGAAGTATTCTTGCCATACTAATATTTCATATTGGCATTTAGTGTCTCACTGTTGGACTCCAGTGAAAACCTTTGGTTTAAACCCTGGTGCCAGGTAAGTGACTATTTTATTCTTCTTTCAGCCTTTTTGTGTAAAACAAGAGATCTTAGTCCTGTATTTTTTTACTTTAGTTGTCAAAGAATCTGTAAAGACAAATCTCTAAAGCAGAGGTGGACAATATTGTGTGGCGTGGATCACACTTAATGTTTGGAGGTTGCCTGATTCAAAAAGGAGAAGCGGCACGGGTATATATCCATGGGCAGCAACATAATTTGTTTTCTTCTTTTCTCTGGGTTTGCAGTGTAGAGTTGTGGTTTTTATTTGTCCTCAAAACTCTGTTAAATCTGTTTATGAAAGCTTTAAACTTTTATGTAAACCTTACAGTTTTGGCATTCACACAATTTTTAAAAAGGAGTAGAAGCCACAAATTGCCCACATCTGTTTTAAACCCTTATTCATGGATCTAATCACATACACTTATTTATCCACTAAATACTTATTTATCCACCAAATTAACAAAAAAGGGGGGTGAATTTTGGTTATCTTAGAGTATATGCACCCTGCCCAGTTATTCCAGGACCAGAATGGATCAGCAACACCTTTCTGAAGGGCAGGAATGGGTGACTCACTTTGTACTCACATTTGCATCCTCCAGGTATGATTTCTTAGTGTGGTTTTAAAGTCTTCTTTTTCCTCTTAGATCATGTTGAACATTCATACCCATCTGGGCTTTACTTTATTGTAAGTTAACTTCAGCAGCTTACTGATTATTTCACAGCAAGAGGAGTAATCAATGATTACCATTGTCTTGAATCAGGGGTGTCAAACTGCCAGCCCACGGGCCAGATGCATCATCCCAAAATCACGCCCACCCCATTGCCAGCAATGGAGAAAAAGTTCTGATATGTCACGTGACGTCGTGAGTTTGACATGCCTGTCTTGAATGAACCCTTCTAGTCAGATGTTTTCCAATAATACTACAGTAACACAATGGTTATAACAGTCTCTTGTAAATAGAAGGTTGCTGGCTTGAACCCTAACAGAAATATGTTTGTTTTTTATAACTTATGTTTCCCTGAGCTATCTAGTTTCCTCCAGCCTTTAAAAATGATGCACCATTTCATTATTTCTCAGGTCACTTGAGATACAAGGATTTTATCTCCTACATGTTTTACCCCTCTGTAAATTGGTAATTTAATCCTCTTTCATTCCAGCCCACATCTGAATCTAACAGCCAAAACTCAGCAGGATTTTCCCCACAATAAAAGATTATCTTGTTAGAGGTGACAAATTTCACAGTTGGCAATCAGTTGCTTGATTGAATCCTTGAAGTTAGTTCTCAGATGTGTCACTTTAGCATATATAGCTATCCAAGTCTGAGCTGTTGTCAATTTAAACAAAAGGGGAAGTGCCCATGTTCTAGCTCTCTATATCATTAGGTTAATTAATAATAGTTTGCATGTTGTGTTGGCAAGGATGTTGTCTGGTTTCAACGAAATAGTTTAAATTGAGCAAGAAGACAGTTCAATTATTTGGACTCCATTGTATTTGTCAAGCAAAGAGAATGCAGTAACAGTAACCAATTTGGCAAGTATGATGGGAATTAAAATGATTGTACTGCCTCCTGTCATATTTATTTGTAGATCTTTAGTCAAAACCATTGATGAAGATATATTCTGTCCTACCTGCTAATCCATTGTTTGGACTAATTGGTCCATCTGGGTCACAGTTTGGTTCTGATTTTGGATCAAGTCATTCACAACTTCATGGTTGATTGGAAGAGATGGAAAATATGTATACCTACTGTTTAAACCTTAGCCTCTCAGCACTATTTTCTCCAGTAGTGATGGTTGTAGGGCTAGCTATTAGACATCACACCAGCATTCCATAAGCTTAAATCTTAGCTCTCCAGACACTTAACCACTTATTTTAGGTGTGGTTTATTCATCAAAAAGCTCACAAATATGATTCAGCAAGATTTGTCCCTTTATCACAGATAATAATAAAGGTAGAGATACACACACTAAACATTTTTAAATGGTAATTCACAGAATCAAGGCCTACTTATTAAGTCTAGGCTCCAGGATTCAAATTTTAGTCTATTTTTCCATTGTTCTAAAAAAAAAAAATAGATACCTGACCCTTCTCCTGATGATCTCGCAAGAAGACTGATCTACATTAATCTATGTTAACAGTTTGCTCAAGTCCAGGAAAAACTAGTTTATGTCTCGCCCTCTTCAGTCCTAATGAAAGGGATATTTGGCTCCCTGAAGTGTTCAGTTATTTCTTTTTTGCTATTTTTATTATAGACAGCTAAAATCATTTAAAAATAATCAACTGCGGTCTCATAGAAAATTGTTACAATTTTACCCTTTTTAAAAAAATGCAATATTTATTTCATTTACTCTTGCCCTTCCGCCAGAAGATCAATATAACACTCCTCCAGTTTTATTCTCACAAATATTCTGTGGCTTAAGATAAGCTGAGACATAATGATTGACACAAACTTACCTAAAGAAATAGCTATCAATATGAGGATTTGAATCCTAGCTTGACATTCTAAGTACTAGGCAACTAATCATGATCAAGATGATGGGGATAATATAGTAGTCCTAATGTGTCAAACAGTAAGATGATTATTGATACAAGTAAAGATCTGCTGCCCAGCAGGGTGAGTAGGAAGTAAGGAAGGTGATTTTAGTGGAGTTATGAAGGCTTTGTTGCCCAGGCAAATGGACTAAAATATTTTTTAAGTCCAGAACAAGATAAATTCAGAAGTGACTCCAGCAGACACCTCTCTAATTAATTGAAGAGGCAGGAGGTGCAGCACAATGAAACTAGCAAGATTTCAATAAAACTGGTTGTAGCCTTCGTGTGAAAATAATTTCATGGTCTGATCTACATAATGGGCTTGACAGGTAGCAGCATCTAACCAGACTAAACGTGATCTCGGTGTTCTGATACATAAAAGGTGGTGATAGTTGGGAACTATTTTCTACTGTCCATAGAAAGAGGATAAGAAATAACAGGTATAATTTGCAGTAATCTAGATTTTGTTACAATTTAAGGAAAAACTTCTGGACAGTAAGATCTGTATAACAGTGAAAAAAACTTGTTGTTAGTTGCGAAGTCGTGTCCGACCCATCGCGACCCCATGGACAACATTCCTCCAGGCCTTCCTGTCCTCTACCATCTTCTGGAGTCCATTTAAGCTCACACCTACTGCTTCAGTGACTCCATCCAGCCACCTCATTCTCTGTCGTCCCATTCTTCTATTGCCCTCAATCTTTCCCAGCATTAGACTCTTCTCCAGTGAGTCCTTCCTTCTCATTGGGTGGCCAAAGTACTTGAGTTCCAACTTCAGGATGTGGCCTTCTAAAGAGCAGTCAGAATTGATCTCCTCTAGGGCTGACCGGTTTGATTGCCTTGCAGTCCAAGGGACTCGCAGGAGTCTTCTCCAGCACCATAGTTCAAAGGCCTCAATTATTTGGCGCTCAGCCTTTCTTATGGTCCATAACTTTCACAGCCATTGCAACTGGGAAAACCATGGCCTTGACTATATGTACTTTTGTTGGCAGGGTGATGTCTCTGCTTTTTAGTATGCTGTCTAGATTTGCCATAGCTTTCCTCCCCAGGAGCAAGCATCTTTTAATTTCTTGGCTGCAGTCTCCATCTGCGGTGATCTTGGAGCCCAAGAAGATAAAATCTGTCATTACCTCCATTTCTTCCCCATCTATTTGCCAGGAATTGAGAGGGCCAGATACCATGATATTGGTTTTGTTAATGCTGAGTTTCAAGCCAACTTTTGCACTCTCCTTTTTTACCCGCATCAAGAGGCTCTTTATTTCCTCTTCACTTTCTGCCATTAGAGTGGTATCATCTGCATATCTTAGGTTGTTGGTATTTCTCCTGGCAATCTTAATTCCAACTTTTGATTCATCTAGCCCTGCCTTTCTCATGATGTGCTCTGCATATAAGTTAAATAGGCAGGGCGACAGAATACAGCCTTCCTAGACTCCTTTCCCAATTTTGAACCAATCAGTGGTTCCGTGTCCAGTTCTCACTGTTGCTTCTTGACCCACATATAGGTTTCTCAAGAGACAAATAAGATGGTCTGGTACTCTCATCTCTTTAAGAACTTGCTCCAATTTGTTGTGATCCTCACAATCAAAGGCTTTAGCATAGTCAATGAAGCAGATGTTTTTCTGGAACTCCCTAGCTTTCTCCATGATCCAGCATATGTTGGTAATTTGATCTCTAGTTCCTCTGCCTCTTCAAAATCCTACCTGTACTTCTGGAAGTTCTCGATCCACATACTGCTGGAGCCTAGCTTATAGGATTTAAGCATAACTTTACTTGCATATGAAATTAGTGTAATGATGCGATAGTTTGAACATAGGTAGAAAAAAATCTACCTATGGAAGTTTTCTGAGAAGAAGTGGCACAGCCACTTATCTCAGATAGTTTAATTGGTTTTCCTGCACATTCCTGAGGGTTGGACTAAGTGATTCCTGTGCTATCCATAAATCAAGATACTACCCAAGAAACATAAATAAATTTAATTTTACTATTATTTACTACTATGTGCCAGTGCCATAGTCTTACATAGTTCGATGCTTAAGTGTTCATTCAGAAACAATTATCACACACCTCAGGTTAGATTAATAGCACCATGTAAAAAGGCTTCTGTATGTAATTTAAATAATCATCAGGTCCATGGCTTTCAACAATGTAGCCAAGGTTAACATATAACCATTTTCAGAAAGGTTCTATATATGTTCCAAGAGCACTTGGGTTATTAATATTTTGGTATATGCACAAAAGCAACAACACAAATTGCAGCCAGTCTAAAATCATTAGAGAGTGCAAGGCACCAGCACAAAACTGCAAGAATGACAAATTCAGAGCAATTGTCTTCATCTTCAAAGAAAGTGGAACCACAAGCCAGACTTTAAATAGACTTTTACCAGAGCAACATATCTAGGATATGCCACCCCTTGTAAGCCCTAGAAAGGTGAGAGTGGGTGTTTGGTCAATGACCTCTGTGTATGTTG